CTGAGAAGATGTATGATTCACGTCGACTGCCTTGGTGTTTCGAAGATCGAAACAATCAAGACAGCAGCGGGTATTTTGATGAAGAACTGAAGAAAAAATATCCAAGTACAACCGCACCCGATTTCGTCGTCCGAGGAATTTGCACCAAGCCTATCCAAAAAAACTCGCATGACTGTGGAGTATTTATGCTCTACTTTATCAAGCGGGCATATGAAGCATTCATGCAAGACAACACGCAACTTCTAAGCGACATTGAGAAGATCTGCACTGCCCCGTGATCAGCGCGCTTTAACGCCAGTATGCTGAGAAAGTATATTTTACAACAGCTTACAGAGTCGAATTAAGTTATAAATCAAATACAGTAATACATTCATTACACGTTAGATAAAGGCACAATAAAACCCACTTGCTGCTACCATTTGCGCCACTTCTCGCTGCTACGCGGCTCCTACCGCACACCACGGCGCGACCCACACCCCACGGCCCCTTCCACACACGACCGCCGCCGCTGCTCTGCAAGTCGCACTACTGTGCACCGCCCTGCTCTGCATCGCCCTTAACCACTGCTGCACCGCACGGCCCATTGCACTGCGCTTTACTACTCACCACCTCTTCCACGACACGCTGCTCAAAGCCGCTGCCGCTCTTCATGTCTCTCCGCTGCACGCTTGCCTGTTCTCTATCCTGCCGCATCGCGTCCTACAGCTCACCACCACTGCCACGCCTCACGCTCTTCCCTGCTGCACGTCACCGTCTCTCCACCGCTCGTGCACTCCATGGCACGGCTCCCCCTTGCCTGCGCTAAAACTTGAACGCATTCTTCGTTCAGGAACCCCCCCACCCCCTAGTCTAATGGCGACGGCGGGTATCTATCCCGCTCCTCAGGGCAAGCCCTGCGCTCATCCTTTCATTTTCGTCGTCGAATTGTGGGCGGGTGGGGGGGGGGGGGTCACTAAGCTCCGTGCCGTTAAGCCACAAAAAAGAAGAATGATGTCGAATGGTGTTTATCGGAATACTTGACCGTCGTTTATTAGCTAATTAAAACGTAAACGAGGTTAAATGTTTTGCCATTCTGCCATTGGCTAGTTAAAATACCTAAGTATGGTTAAAAAAAAGATGATTCAATGTCACTAAATTGTCACTGAATTGAATACAACTCGAATAAAAGCCTCTCATGAGGTGATCCTGTCTCATTAGTTGTGATGGGGTCACACAGCACCTTGCGCTGAGGAAGTAGGCTCCCTCTAGAGTATACAAACTCTAAGTGAACGACCGTTCACGT